CTCTACTAAAAATATAAAAATTAGCTGAGCATGGTGGCAGGTGCCTGTAATTCCAGCTACTTGGGAGGCTGAGGCCGGAGAATTGCTTGAACCCAGGAGGAGGAGATTGCAGTGAGCCAAGATCGTCCCACTGCATTACAGTCTGGGTGACAAGAGTGAAACTCCATCTCAAAAATAAAATAAAATAAAATAAAAATTAGCCAGGGGTGGAGGCCAGTGCCTGCAGTCCCAACTACTTGGGAGTCTGAGTTGGGGGGATTACTTGAGCATGGGAGGTCCAGGCTGCAGTGAACTGTGACAGTACCCCTGAACTCTAGCCTGGGTGACAGAGTAAGACTCGATCTCAAATTAAATAAATAAATATTAAAAATTACTAATACATGGGGATGTCAGAAAATGAAATACAGGGGATACAAATCAAGTAACAACATTCTACCATCAGAATATATTTTGATACCATTTAAAGTTTGTTTTGAAGACAAGCAATTCCACAGACTGTATGAGAAAGACAACTTCATAATTAAGTTGCAAAATTACTCACTTTACTATGTGAAGGACTGGACTTAATGGTCTGCTATCTCTAAGCCAAGTTATGAAGGATCTGGCTCTTTCTGATGAAAGTGTATCTAGCTCTGGAAGATGTGTCTGGTAAAAGAAATACAATTAGAAAACTATTTCCTTTCTTATAGACTTTAGCAGTATTAGAACAAAATCACCATTCCTACTATCAACCCCAATTGCCAGAACTCTATTTCTTAGCCTCAACAGCGGCAACTACACAAATGAAATTTAAACTGCTGAAAAATCTGTTTATGATTTTCTGGATAAGTCAATAAAATATGTGCAGTCACAAGTATATCACTGACATTTTATCTGAATATTGTATTTTTCTTGAGAAGTAAATAAAACATAAACAATTAGCATGTCAGCATTGTGTAGTGCCTTTATGTTTCTTCTAGAGGAAATGTTCAAATGAAGGGGGACATTAAGTTCCAAATTCCCTTAGCAATTATATACTATATCCTCTTCTAAAGATAACCATTCTGGGAGAATTTCATGTTTCCTTTAATTTAAAGACAAAGAATTTTAAAGAACAGTGTGGATATATATTTTAAAACTATATGCAGCCAGGTGCGGTGGCTCATGCCTGTAATCCCAGCACTTTGGGAGGCTGAAGCAGACAGATCACCTGAGGTCGGGAGTTCAAGACCAGCCTGACCAACATGGTAAAACTATCTCTACTAAAAATACAAAAATTAGCTGGGCATGGTGGTATGTGCCTGTAATCCCAGCTACTCAGGAGGCTGAGGCAGGAGAATTGCTTGAACCCGGGAGGCAGAGGTTGCAGTGAGCCAAGATCCTGCCACTGCACTCAAGCCCGGGGGACAGAGCAAAACCCTGGCTCGGAAAAAAAAAAAAAAAAAAGAAACCCTATATGCAAAGCTATTTTAAAAAGACCTAACAATCTACTATTTTTATATACATATATACATAAAAAGTTAAGATTTATCTTTCTTTTTCAAAGCCAACTGTAAATTAAACAGTAAATTAAAAGTTAAAAAAATCCTCAAATATGAATTTATATAGACAAGTTTGGATTAATTATATTTGTAATTCATGTCAATATTTTCAAAACCATTTCCATTTTGATGTGAATTTTTTCAGATGTTTTTTAAATTATTACTAAGTATACAAACACATTTTTGAAAATATAAATGGGAATCATATCATACTATTCCCTTCAGACTGTATTTTTCTTCTCTCTCTCTCTTTTTTTTTAAGAGATGGGGTCTTGCTAGGTTGCCCAGGCTGGAGTGCAATGGCTGTACATAGGTGCAGTCATAGTGCATTACAGCTTTAAATTTCTGGGCTCAAGCAATCCTCCTGCCTCAGCCTCCTAGCCTCCCAAGTAGCTGGGACCACAAGTGCATATAGCACAGTGCCCCAGACTGTATTATTTTTAAGAAATTCACGGCTATTATTTAATACTATAAGCACGTGTGTACATATACCTACTTCTATGAATACATCTGTGGGATATATTCTTTGCAGAATAATTTATTGTGTGAAAAAGAACATGATTTTAACAGACATTGTCAAATGGCCCTCCAAAAAGGTTATATAAGTACTACATACTCCAGTCAACAGTGCTTGACAGTGTCCACTGCCACATACTGTCTACATAATTGCCTATATCAAATTTAAAAAGTTTTGACAATCTGGTAAATGAAAGAAATGCTACATTACTGCTTTTTTCCTAATTATGAGTGAGGCTAAATATTGTTTCATTTGACCTCTACTTTATTTTTCCTTTATGAATTGCCTGTTAAAATCTTTTACCCAGTTTTCTTTAGGGGAGGTAGAAAGTAAGGAAGGTCTTCTTAAAGATTTGTAAGATAATTTTTTATAGAGAAGTTAGCCCTTTTTCAGTCCTATGAGTTACAGATAATCTTAAGATTTTGTTTGTATTTTGGCTTTATTTTTTTTACTGAATAGAAATGTTTTATATTTATGCTTTTGATCTTTTGAATCACTGACTTACAAAGGCCTTACTCATTTTAATATTATAAAAAAATAATAAAAATTCACAAATATTTCTTCTAGTGATCTGCATAGTTTCCTTTTTTAAGTTTACATATATGATCCATTTGAAAGTTATTTTGATATAAGGAATAAGTTAAATATCCAGCCTTGTTTTTTCCTTAATGACTAATCAGTGGACCCAAGATTATTTTTCTAATGTTCCATTTCCCCACAATAATTTGAAATACAATCTTTATCACACTGTGTTCTTCATTAATTAGATCTATTTCTGAACTCTATTCTGTTCCACTGATCTGTTTACTATGCCAGTATCAAGGTACTTAAATAATTACAGCTTAAGAATGAGGTTTACTATTTTAGTTAGAATTTATTTTTCATATGTTTCCCTCTTTGCTGGCATTATTCTCCCTTTTCATTTTCTTAGTATCCTCATTTGTTGAGTTTTAACAATGAACTTTTGGATAATTTGTCAACATTTAAAAAAAACGAGAGATTGTAATAAGGATTACACTGAATTTATATTAATTTCAGGAAAAAGGACATATTTATAGTATCTAACACAATAAAGTAGGTCAGCCTTCCCTTCCAGTTAATATACAAATTTGTTTTCAGAATCATATTTCCTTGGTATTGGTTAACATACATTCAGTAAAATCCTACTGAAAAAATTATGTTTAGTATTACCAAAACAATTTAAATCCAAAGTTAAAGTTGTTGAAAAACAGTTTGGCAGTTCAACAGTTAAACATAGAGTTATGTGACCCAGTAATTATACTCCTAGTAATGTGCCCAAGAGAACCGAAAACATATGTTCACACAAAGACCTGTACACAAGCATTCATCATAGCACTATTCACAATAGCCCCAAAGTAGAAACAACTGGAATATCCATCAGTGGATGAATGGATGATCAAAATGTGGTATGTCCATACAATGGACTCTTTTTTAGTCATAAAAAAGAACAAACTGGCCAGGGACGCCTGTAATCCCGGCACTCTGGTACGCCAAGGTAGGAGGACTGCTTGAGTCCAGGAGTTCGAGACCAGCCTGGGCAACACAGGGATACCCCATCTCTACAAAAAAATAAAAAAAATTAGCCTAATGTGGTGGCATACTCCTGTGGTCCCAGCTACTCAGGAGGCTGAAGTGAGAGGACCACTTAAGCATAGGAGGTCAAGGCTGTAGTAAGCCATTATTGAGCCACTGTACTACACAGTCTGGGTGACAGGGCAAGATCCTGTTTAGAAAAACAAACAAACAAGAAAAAGAACTAATACAAGCCACAACATGAATGAATCTTAAAAACATTACAGAAAGTGAAAGAAGCCAAACACAGAAACCATATATTGCCATTTATATAACATATCCAGAATAGGCAAATCCATAGATACAAAGTAGATTAGTCGCTGCCTGGGGGCAAGGATAGGGAAGAATTGTGAGATACAGCATTCATTTTAGGGTGATATTAATGTTCTGAAACTAAACAGTGGTAATGGTTGTAAAACATGGTGTAATACTAAAAAACACTGAACTGTACATTTTTAAACCATGAATATTATATGAATTTTACATCAATTAAAAAGTAAAAATGGAGCAAACAAAAAATTAATGGTGTATTAAATCTACTGACCATTTTCTGTGGTATTGATGCAAAATTAGGATATCCAAGCACATTCTCTATGAAGTTATTGTCACAGCCTTTCCCAACCCAAATGTAAAAAACCTAAAAATAAAAAGCAACATATTAAAACTCCCTAATAATTAAGAGAACTCATTTTAGTTAATTTTATCAAAATTATCACCTCAAATAAGGTAGGAACAAACATAAGAGTAAAAAGGAAATCTATAATTGTTACATTGTGAATCTATATCTAAGAATCCAGAGTGGTTCACATCTTCTTTGATCAAATGTTAAGGCTTCCCATAAAATATATTTTACCTTTTGTACTTATTTTCCCAATATAAGTATAATCCTTTAATTAGTGTAATTAACTCATGGTATTTCCCAACCACTATTTCAGTTACTGTCTGTATATTTTAACTCATGCATTTCTCCCTCTTCTGTAGCTATCCAAATCCTTTTTCTGCTCAAAAGGCATCATTTTGAAGCCATCTTAACCATTCTGACACCCTTCAACTACTACCCCTGACCAGTGACTTCTCTTGAACTCCTAATCATTAGATTTCTGACAATAAATGTAAGTTGAACTAGATAAACTCTTGAAATACTTTTAAATTCTAGACTTTAGATGAAAAGTCCCTGAAGACAGGAATTTACCTCATGAGTTCTCTTCATCAAGTATACATAATTCATGACAGTAAACAATACATATTAAAATATATTACTCTATCAGTACTATCAATACAAATATCAATAACATCAATATAAAATGAAGTCCAAATAGAAAAGTTTAAGTAAATTGACCTCTAGTGTCAGTTACCAATTTCAGCTCCTAATCCTAATTTCACTTTTCACTGCCTGCTTCTGTGATAACAGCTGGATCCTATAAGTATTTCTTTCTTTTTGTTAGCTCAAACAGTGTTAAGCTTTGCCAGAAGAAGTTGCTTACAGAGCCACAGTCCATAAGGAAAGCACCTTCTCTTGTCAGCTTCTCTGCAGACAATTTTTGAAGAGGTGGCTGTGGTACAACCCTGTCATTAACATGTATTGCACCCTGAAAAGAAAAAGTCAGAATGTGCATAAGATTACATTGCTATCGTCACAGTTTGGGAGCTAATGGTCACTAACCCTTTATGAAGCACTGGAAAATAACACTTGGGAGTTTTGTATGATGCAAAAAAAAACTGATTTTATTCTACCACCTTGGTTGTGGAATCAAGACACTTTACTGTATTCAATTAAAATGTAAAAACATGAATACATAAAATGATCTGTCACATTCCCTTCCCTTTTAGGGTGGGGTCAGAATATATTACATGTGTGACTACTGACTCTGTTGCATAGCCAGCTACATTTTTTTTTTTAAAATAATTAGACAAGCAAAAATAAGTCTTGCTGAAATGAAAAGGTGTTATGTGTATAAATTCTCAAAATAGTGCTTTAGATTCAAGCAAAGGGAATTGGATGCCGTAGTTACTAGTTTTTCTGAAAAGCTGTCTGTGGACTGTCAACAGAAG